AACATGAGCCCCCAGTGTGTGCTGGAGCCCAGAGAGCAACTGCATCCTGGACTGCATCAAAAGAAGTGTGGCCAGCAGGGTCAGGGAGGTGATTCTGCCCCTCTGTTCTGCTCTGGTGAGACCCCACCTGGAGTGCTCTGTACAGCTCTGGTGAATATATAGATCTTTGGAGAGGGTCCAGAGAAGGGCCACCAAGATGATCAAAGCGCTGGAGCACCTCTGCTGTGAAGACTGGCTGAGACAGTTGGGGCTGTTCAGTCTGGAGAAGAGAAGGCTCCAGGGAGGCCTTACAGCTGCCTTCCAGTACCTACAGGGCTACAGGAAAGCTGGGGAGGGGCTTTTCATCCAAGATGATAGTGACAGGACAAGGGGTAATGGTTTTAAACTGAGAGGGGGGAGATTTAGGTTAGGTATTAGGAAGAAATTCTTCACTATAAGGGTGGTGAGGAACTGGAATGGGTTGCCCAGGAAGGTTGTTGATGCCCCATCCCTGGAGGTTTTTAAGGCCAGGTTGGACAAAGTTTTGTGCAATCTGGTCTAGTGGTAGGGTTCCCTGCTCATGGCAGGGGGGTTGGAATTTGATGATCTTTAAGGTCCCTTCCAAACTTAATGATTCTATGATTCTACAATTGCTTGGGTACATTCCATTAAAATCTCTTCTCTATACACCAGCTTCCTCAGCTAATTATTATCTTGCTGGTAACAGAAAATATAACCCAGTTGGTGTATTTGGACTATAAGACAACTTAATGCAGTTGATGACACGTATGCAGCTTGATAAGCTTAAGAAAGTTCTCAGAAGCATTTTTTTTTTAAGATTAACTTCAAGGGTTTGGGTGGAAAAGGAGAGGAATAAGCATTTTCCAGTTCAGCTGCACAACCTGAAGTGCAGCTTGTATGGTTTATATCCACTGCATACTGTGTTTCCTTTCCTGTGAGGGAATTCATAAAGAAGGACTCAGCTTTACTACAAGACTATAACAAGGCTGTATTTTATCCTACTTCTCCATCTGACTTGAACATGTGGCCTTTTAGGCAAGGGGTAAACAAATTACGATGTCCTAGAATCTTTCAAAAAGTAAAAAATTTGGTCACTGTTTGAGTAATTAAGTATAAAATAATAGTTGATTACTATTAGCAAAGAAACTGAGATTATATAGGCATCTGGAGTTTGATTTTTAATGGGAAAGACAACACTGGCTACTGGGATTTTTTTTTTCCTTTTAAAATACTGGGCTGTTTCTGGTAGTTATTAAAGGATTATCAAATAGAACGGGTAGATAACATTCCAGAAAAAGGCACACATCCTGTATCAACAGAGGTAATTTGCAAATATTTAGGTTCTAGGAAGAGTACAAACAAGGTCTATGAAGAAATGCTTTTCAGAATACAACTTGGATCTCTAAGGTCACACATTTAATGGATGTTTGTGTGTTGCTGTGAAGACACATTTATCATCTAAGATGACAACTGTTGCTAGGCGCATAGTTTTCAGAATGATTCATAATCTAGCAAAAAATAAGATATTTAAACTACCAGACCTCAACATAAAGTATGATATGCTCATATGTTCATTTCAGGAACATGATATTCTCTCTAGTTATATCACATAACTATTCAAGTAACGGAAAAACTTTTTCCCTTTACTCATAGCATCTTGGACTGAATGTCTAGCAATTTTTGTTCTCCTCGCAGGCCAAGTCAGCTCTCTAATTATGTCTTAGGTCAGCTATGTTCTCTGCATTTTTGGATGAAAAGCTGCAGAACAAAAAGTCACCTCTTGTCAGCCAACCACATAAATATGTACCAGTGTATTCTTAAATAAGAATCTAAAAATCCACATAATCCATATAGAATTGGGTCACAATAAAGTTTTATGATTTTATCAAGATTTTCATTTTTTAGAGACAGACAGAATCAACCAATATTTATTCAGATATGATTCTGAGCATTTGCAGCAATTCACAAAAGAAATGAAGGCCATATGGAAGAAGGTGCAACACAGCAGACAAATTACTGAGCTCCTTTATTATATTTTTAAATTAAGGTATGTGTTCCATATTTGCAGTTCACTGAGAGTCTTTTTTAACTTTTCTTTCCTACTTTATTTCATTATTGTTTGGTAGAGTCTTTCTCAGAAAAATGATTTTTCACAGAGAGAGCTTGACCTTTCAGTAGTGCAAATATGTTTCTCAAATATTTCGCACAGTCTAACCTCTTTCCCTTGTTCTGCTTGCTCTGGGTGTGCACGGAAAAATGTGTCTCTATGTTCTGGGTTCACCATCACCGATTTTCCTTACTTACAAAATTGCTGGAAACTGCCCCTTTCTGTGGAGTTCTCACAATAGTTTATTACACAGTGACTTGATTTCTGCAAGTTTACTTATCTTTCATGAAACCTTGTGAGCATATGAAAAGATATGACTTCCATTTATGAGCCACAGGATTCCTCCTGGTTATAATTAAAAGAAACCATACTCTCCTAGCATGTTCCCAATATCATTTTGATAATTTTGCAATGTCAACAAGGTATCTTATAAGAAACAGCAGTTCATATTTGTGAAATTTTAAAATTCTGCAGAGTTCTTCAGAGTTTTACAAAGATATGAAACTGATATGAACTTTTAAAACTGGGGTATTTAGTGTTTGTATTTGATGGAGACATTAAATTTCTTGTATTGCATATAAGAACAAAGGCCCTTTCCTTTTTTAAATGCAAATGATAGCTAAAAAGAGATAGGGATATTACTGTAAAAGCTGTCCTATTTTATTTGTGTGTTTATTAGTATCTAAGAATATGGTTCTTTGCATTCTCATTGACTAATGATATTAATACAATTTTTGAGCTTTTAATATTCAACTTATTCTTTAATTTTAGCTGAATTTTTTACTGTTCAGAAGAGGAATGTCTTGTGGTAAATTCATACTAAGTCCACTAGACAATTATTTCAGTTTTATCACATTTTTTGCGGGTGTGCAATACCACCTCTATTCTGTCACTGCTGTTGAGAATACAAATGCTGACATTTCCCTCTTTGATGGTTATGGGAAGCCTGAGAGATTACAGTTTCCAGTTTCACTTGCTGTATCTACCTCTGACACCATCTTTTTTAAAAAAAAAAAATCTATTTTTTTTAACTTACAAAGCCCATTTGTATTTAGCTGCTATACTTACGCAGTATTAAAGTTACAATGTACATTTCTTCAGCACTCTATAAATACAATTTTCTTATTTAATGCTGCAAATCAGCAGTCTGACATCCAGAACTAGATTATTCACCTCTCCGCTCTAGAATCTTGCCTCCAAGAAAGCTTGTCAAAATCTGTCACGTCTTTCTGTTCCTCTGCTCAAATTAGTGACCTTCTTACTGCTATGATTTCCTTGTTTGTCTCTCATTCTGTCTATAATATTGCACTACCAGACAGTATGTCTGTTCTAGCTTACTAGTAGAAGTTCCATTCAAGAGCCAAGCATTTAGTTCAGTCAGTGACCTAGGGATCAAATAACCTCTGTGCAACAGTACTAGAAGATGCCAGCAGTTCATTTATCTCCCCGTAATTAAGAGGTCAGAGTATAAAAGGTGAAAACAGAAAGTGACTGATTTTTTTGGTAGAAGCACATAGGAGTGGTATATAGCAAATTGCTCTGAAGCTTGTGTATCTAGTTCTGCAGCACCACAGACAAGTCTAAGCAATATGTAGACTGCTGAGGAGAGCTGTTTACCATGGCACTCAGTTTTGAAAGATATTGGCAGATAATATATTGATAAAAGTTTGTTATAATATAAACTTTATAATGGTTCCATTCCATAGGAATGGTTTTGAATATTTGAAATTGTTCCTATTCAATTGAATAAAACCTCACTATTACTCTTGTTTAATTCACCTGGTTATTATTTTATTATCAACAATAAAAATAAGGGCAGGGCAAGTCATTACTATGGTAATAGGTCAAAACCTGAAGGACTTCTATTAGCTTAGGAACGTAAGGTTTCCTTGCTTTGGCTATGAAATATTATTAGCAATCTGTCTCATCCTTCTAGCTGTGCTATTTAAATTGTTTGGATTTTTTCCCAGTTTACCCTTTTTTTTCTGCAGCATTAAAGCTATATGATTGAAATAGAGAAGTGCAGCCAAGGAAGAAAATTCTCAGATATTTACCAAGCATAACATCTCTAAATCTTTGGGGTCTTCCCATATACCCATTAGTTTCATTGCAACTTTCAGATGGGGACAGAGAAAAAGTAAGAACTGACCTAGCAGGTGGCTGTTTAAGGTATGGACAAAAAAAAATCCTGCCTACGTCTCCAGGAATGAAGGCACTGATTAGCACTACATTTTATACTGCAGGTGCAAGGCCTCTAGCCAACTGGAAATGACAAAACATGTTTTGTGCTTTCGAAGAAGTGGGATTCACATTACGCTCTCACAAGATGTGCTGTGTGTGCACCTTGTACATTTACTTATAATGCATGTTACCCAATTCTGTGTGAAATCACATAATTTTGACAGAATGCCATAAATTTTACATGAATACCATGGAGTTTCTCTCTCTTGTAAAGTTTTGTAACCCTCTAAAGAAGGCTGGTACACTCTCACTTAAGCACAGTTTAAGGCTAAATAATGTTGCAAAATTAAATCACATTGACATTCATCTTAATTGTATTGTTTCAGTGTCACTCTAATGTAAAATTTTCACAGTCCATAGAGAAAATATGATCAAGTACACGACCCATTTATACATGTTTGTAAATGTAGTTACTATGAGCCAGGTATGTCTACTGCCTGCCTGCTTTTCTACTTCATTTTGACGTGAAAAAAGAAAGTAATTAACAAGTCAGAAGTAAAATGACAAAAAATAATTACAAAATAAAACCTCTACTCATACAGTATTTTATGTGGGACCATGTGAAAAGTATAAAGTTTTTTAGCCATAAAAAAAACCCCAACATATTGCTCTTTAGGATCTGAGTTTGGGTGATGCTGTAAGTGAGACCTACTTTCTCATAGTACTTGATCTCGTAGTCCAGTATGGCTCCATGGGGAGAGTCCGGCTCTTGCCAGGAGAGGGCAATGCTGTTTTGGGAAGCCCAGTCCTTCCTTACCATACCTATCAAGGAGGGTGCTGAAAGGGAAAAGGATAACTAAGGGTTAAAGACGAAGCACACATTTTATTCTTCCAACCTACTATCTTAGGATACCAACCCGCGGTAACTTTGAGTGACCTCCAGGCAGAAAAGCATGACAGATGGCAATTCTCAGGGAAACCATATAACCTGGAATTAATGTCTCAAGTACGTACCAGTAACTCCTTTGTTAAAGTGCAGACTGGCTTCTGAAAAACTGCTATATACAAAAACACAGAAAGAAGCACCTGTGCTGGTCCCCAATGCTGGCTGCATGCAACCAGGTTGAGATCCTGGCTCCAAGAACACTGTGTCCAGAGCAGAATTGTATCTCAGAGACAGTAAGTCTAAACAGTAAATTTAGGATAATCTGCATTAAATGTCACAATGCAACAGTGTTTACTGTACATTCAGTTTACTCTTTTGGGGTAAAATAAAGTGATGCAGCATAAAACATGCAATGAATCCTGTTTCTGCTAGCTGGGCTGGCAGCAGCAAGGGCATTTTAGCCCATCAGCGAAGTGGTTACGTGCATGGAAAAGTCAGCTTGTTAGAGGAGGCCAGTGGCAGGGAATGGGTTATGAGCAAACACTGGGGGCAAAGGTACCCCTAAATCTACCTGCTGTAATTGACAGTGCAGGTCTGCAGCAGCAAAAAGATTACGAGCTGCTTCCAGCAGCTTTTGGAAGGGGCCTGACATAGGTGGATGCACTTAAGACCCAAATTAGCTCACTGTGGGGTTACCTAATTTTAAGAATTGGATTTTCTACCCTTTCAGAAAGGAAGGTGCACTGTTATCTATGCAATAATTTCAAACACTGCAAAACATGCATTCTAGAAGACAGGATTTGCTTATGCAAAGCATGTCAAGGGAGGTTTAGTATTCTCTCTAAAACTCATGCCGCATTAAGTGTTGATGTGAAGCTTTTCTAAACGTTGCAACAAAAACAGTCATGCTGTTGAAGTCAAGCAAGCTGAAGAAACCAGCTGCCATAAAAACTTCTTTCAGTGGTTCATAGCTTTTGCTCTTTGTCTTTCCACTAACAAATATCAATTTGTTACACACCCTCACCCATTCTTCTCTATCATGAATCCTACTTAACCTCTTCTAAGATTCCAAGGAGCTGTCTCTTAAAAATACAGTATTTTTATGACTTCTGTTTTTATCTTTTGAATGGAAGAGTCTCCCTAGGTAAATGAAATAAGAATCTGCTTCTAGTCACAAAGTTTCATGTCTTAATTTTCTTTCCTGTAAATGTTTCAGGAAGTTTAAGAAATGAAAACAATAAATAAATTGTAGACTGCAAGCAGGAAACAAAATCAGTTGCTTTCCTTTGAATAAAGCAAAACTCTACACACAGTCACACACAGAACGATTTATTTCTCTGTGACAGTGCATTTGTCTGAGAGAGAAAATAAACTTCCATCCACTGTCAATCCTCCCTGTGGACAACTACTCTGTGGTATAATAGTGCAGCTCTTTCTGATGTAAAAAAAATCAGCCTACCTAACATGTAGCGTAAAATGAGAAAAAACCTACCACAAGTATCAAGTGGATAAAACAGAGCTTACACAGAAAAATTCCCTACAGCTGTGATTATGTCACTATAACTACAGGCCTGATGCAAGGCAATGAGAGAAAAATAAATAAAATTCCTTCTATGCTGAATAAAGGATTGACCTATTTTTGAGGAAGTCCTTAAACAGCATAATGTAAGCAACTAAACAGAACAAAAGACAAATAAATAAAAAGCACTCATAGGTTCAGGGCCCTAATGTTATCCCTTGGTATATATAACTATTCCCTCAGTTTTATTCTTGAAATAGAAGGTGAAGCTTTGCTCTGTCATAAAATCAGCTGCTCCAAGCAAGGAACAAAACAGGTCTGTTTAAAGGAAAACAGGTACCAGCAAACATGGATTTGCATTTGCTGAACACTGATCATGGGCCTAAAAGGGCAATTACTCATATACCTTTGTTTACTGTTTGCTAGCTTTGAGTCATTCACTGGTATTGATCTGGGATTTATGGGCAGGTCTGAGGGAGATGTCGCAACCTTTCAAAGATGTCCGATACACCCTGTGCATCTGTTCACAGGTGATGGACATTGGCTGGGCCACCTTCCCCAGCACATCATGGCTTCCTCTCACTGTATTTGGGGGTTCACTGGTAAGACAACCAAATGCAAAATGATCAAGCTTGATTACAGAAAACAGCAGGTTAAACTGTGGCTATAGTTATATGTTTGGCCCTTTTAGGCTTTTAATTTATGTATTAATACTATTAGACTTCTTCAAATTATGACCTAACTTTTATAAGCTTTTCATATGTATCACATGTGGCGTGTTTTTCTTTGGGTTCTGATTTCTAAATGTATACAGTAATTTATGCATGTTTTCAGCCTGAGGTCACCACAGTAACACTTGCATTTAGTCAAGTCCATTTCAAAACACAGTACTCGCACAAAAAATCATCTCAAATGTTTAGTATGAGAAGTAGCCTATGGAAGAAAATCACTTCAGCTCTCTCCTAAGCCAATTGTGCTTGACCTGCGCTTGAAACTGAAAAGCCCATACAGCAAGGCTCACATCACACCTGTAGCACTGTGCCAGCATTGCATCCTCTAAAGCAAAATGTGGAAGTGGGTACATAAGGCTGTGAATATGAGAAGTGTATTTGTGTTTGCATTAGGGTACAGGACAAAAAAAGAATTGTACTTTTAAACAAAAGAATCACAAAAGATCCAGCATTAACCATTTCTTATATGTTCAGAAGGATGACCCTATATTTGTTAGACAGAGGCTATATATTCACATCTCAGAGGAAAGACAGACTTTTAGGAAAAGGATTCCAGTCAGAAATCTACTGTACAAAGAAACAGACAAATAAACTCAAGTAATTAAAAGCTGTAGTTAATTTATTCACTTGTGGTGAAGTGCTACTAAAAGCAGTACTTTCTACAGTGAAATTTCAGCTTCTTGTAACAGTTGCTCACTAGAGCAGAAGTTTAGACCCTAAACATCCTATTCATTTATCATTAAAGCTCTTTTCAAAAAGACAGTGCTAAGATAGGTGAATCCTACATGCCCATTTATAAAGACTGCTCTAATGTTCCTATGATGAATCAATGGGAAGTTCTTTTAATTAGGTGTTTCAAATACAGTAGCTGCAGGAGAGCTCTAATTTGGTTACCCAAAGAAACCATTTGAAAAAAAAATGCTTAGAAGCACAGCATGGCTTTTAATCACTTTAATGGCAGCATTTTCTTACCATTTGTACTAGGCTGAAGAATGTTTTCTGGCTCTTTAGCTCAGCACTGATCTCTGTTTTGTACTAAGGGTTCTTTGCACCATCTGTTCTCTATGTTTTCCTCTACACTGTTACAAATTTCTTGAATTGTGAGCTCCTTATTTGATTTAGTCTCATAAGTTTTGTTGTCTTTTCAAATTTGTATTGAATAATGAAAGTTCATTCCTTAATTCAGAGTGATCTTATTTTATTCTAAATCTCTTTGGCTTCTCTTTCTCTGAACCAAAGGGCAGAAAACATGTATTTTAAAAAATTTCCCAAAAGAGGAGGACATTCAACCCCCTCCCTACCTCTTCTTTCTTTCTTTCCTAACTTCACCAACTTCCAAATTGCAGATGCGGGAAAATACTGACTGGGGCTCACTCAGCAACCTTGCTTCTCTTTGAAAACACATTTATTGATCCCTCCTCACTTCATATGATATAGATGGAGGGGAAAACGTGCTTTAACATCCTGCAGGGAGCCTGCATTCCTTTTGTTGGGGAACAATTTCTTACATTAAGGGAAGGACAGTTGAGGGTGGAAGAAATATCAATGCTATGAGGACTAATTTAGGTTGACTTGGGTTTCACATCTGTGCTGGCCAGAAACCAAAGAAGTTTTCGTGTTCATGAAGAGAAAAGGACTTTTTCAAGCTTATATCGTAGGTCAAAGGTGTGAATCAAATTACACAGTAAATTATGATTCCACTATGGTTATCTAATAATCAAAAACCCATTCAACAAAATTTTTAGGAAACCAATGAAACAGAATATGCTATGTTTACTTCCAAATGCTTTATCCTTTTGCTTGACTATAATACTACAAATTTATTTTGGAAACTAATGATTGTCTTAGATTGAAAAGGAAAAAATTGGTCTAAATTTGTGTATCTTTGTAAAAAAACCCACCACTTCCCCCCCCCCG